TGCAGGATTTTTTGAATTTATTTTTATTTTAAGCATTTGAGAGAAGGATAATAAGTTCAGGTGAAATGATATTAAAATCTTTTAGCTTAGTACCTTGAAAAGTAAGAGATTCCTTAGAGAGTCATCGGGGACTTCTTGAAAAGACTAATCTTCTTTTATTTTATTTGTTTTCTGCATGGCAGTTCCCTCCTTTGCATTGGCTGGGGGTGATATTTTAAGAATGTTTATATCTTTGTGTGGAAATACAATTTTTGGTTAAGAAATGTGTATTTTTATTGCTAGTCAGTGCAACAGTACAACCATTAAATGTTTCTTGTTTGCATTGCTAAAACTGTTTGCCTGAAAGGTAATAAAGCAACTTCTTTACAAGCAAAATGTTGACTGATGTTTGTTTGTTTGTTTTTCTTGAATAAATGGGCTACCATGCACAAATCTTAGCCAAATATTTTTCATGCACTCTTAAAGAATTGTCTTCCATCACAAGTTCCGTAGTGTTTGCGTTCTTGGGGCATCCTGCTGCTGTTGTATATGTTTATTGCCTGTCTTCAGTAAGGTTACAGACCTTCCTTTTTTCTCTTTTAGGTTTTCACATCACATGATTCCTGGTCCTCCAGGCCCTCACACAACTGGAATCCCTCACCCAGCTATTGTAACACCTCAAGTAAAACAAGAACATCCGCACAACGACAGCGAGCTAATGCATGTGTGAGTCTGCCTTTCTGCACTAACCCTTAATCTATAAATGTTTGAGTCAAGGACATTAAAAAAAAAATGCCTTTCATGACCTCTTTGAATTTTAACTCTTCTCCTATAACTAAAACAGGAGATGCGGGCTACTGGGAAATGAGACATGAAGCCATTTTTTATTCCAGTCTAGCGCTTTGTAGCTATTGGTAACAGTCATCTTGGTTCAGACATAATCATGGACCTGTCTACTTGTGGATGTTGCTTGAGTGTGAACTCAGAAATTCTGCTGGAAAAGGTCTTAACTGCAAAATTTACTAGTAAAAAGCAGTTTTATTGCTTAGTACTTGAAGGCAAAAGGCCTAAGAAAGAAGTGGATGAGGAGCTATCCTCCTGCCTGTAGCAGTGGTCTTTTAGGGGACTATGGATAGCCTTTCAGAAAGACAATTGAGACAAGTGATGAATTTGGAGGGGATTCACAGATCAAATGTTATTTGCTAGAGAATGTCAACCTGACATCCTCTCTGAGTATTAGATTAGGTCAGTTCTCTGAAAAGATATGAAAGTAGATGGGACATGACCACAGAAATTCTCATTCTTACTACTTAAATGCTACTTAAATGCTACTGTAACCACAGGTCGGTAATTTTCCATTGGCTTTTTTATAAGCTGAAGGTAAATGGATGCTTTTTTTTCCCCTCCTTTCCCTTTCCCCCACCACGTTTTAGGAAGCCTCAGCATGAACAGAGAAAAGAACAAGAGCCAAAAAGACCTCATATTAAGAAGCCTCTGAATGCTTTCATGTTGTACATGAAAGAAATGAGAGCGAACGTTGTAGCAGAGTGTACTCTGAAAGAAAGCGCGGCTATCAACCAGATTCTTGGCAGAAGGGTATGTACAGGAGGGTGTGTGTACTCACGTGTGCTGCTAATTTGTATGTGTTTCCCTTTAGTTGAGTGTGATGGCTTGCTTTCTGCTTGAGGTGCTAACTAATGTGCAACTATCAAATTAGCTATAGAAGATAAAACACGCAACTAAAAATAAAAGCGGTATCTTGATTTTCTTTTTTCAGCATTAGCAACATCATCAAATTGGTGTCTGTTCCACTTACGTTACGGTGTCAGCACCTCAGGCATGAAACATCCTCATTCACACATGGAAGGAGCATTCAGATCACCTTCTGGGTCCTCCCTTAGGCTGGCGTCCTTCAGAGTAGGAGGAGATCATTCAAAGATGAATGCTGAATGCCAGTGGAAATGGAACTTGAAAGCGAATATAACATGGTCCAATTGTAAAGACATGTAGGTTCGGAGGGATCTGTGGAGGTCGTTGAGTCCAATACATGCTCAAAGCAGATCCCGTTCCATCAGGTTGCTCAGGCAATTGTCCAGTCAAGTTTTGAATGGCTCTGAGGTCACCGGCTGAGTACTGATGATCCCAGTACATGTCCCAGAGCCTTGCTTAGAGCCATTTGCTTCTGCGGCATTGTAGGCATGTTTTGTTCTTTCCATGGTCTGAAAAAAATATATGCTATCCAACCCACAATTACAAACTTCGTGTTCACTGTCGGTGTTGTTTTTCCAAGGGAAAGCAGCAGAGGTAAATGCCCATTTTTGCCCTCGACTGTCCTGGAAATGAGAAAAGGAATGACTTTTGTATCAATCTGAGTTTGAGTAGGGATTATTCAAATCCCCTTGCTCAGTGAACCCCTCTTCTTGACCACTGACTAAGGCAGTATTGAAAACCCTCTCTGAAAATCCTGTGCTTTGAAGTGGGAAGTCAGTACACGACCTTAACTGCTACTTCTCTGTTACAATCTGAAGACATTGCCCCTCTGCCCCCCAAACAGAGCAGAAATCCATTGGTACTTGTCCCTGTTCCTGCAGCCTTCTGCCTTCTCTCTGATGTTCTTGTTACCTCCTCTTAAAGGACGTCTCAGTGCTTGCCTTTTCCATTCTTTCATGCAAGTCTCTAGGATCATATTTTCATTCTCACTCCCTCAGTAATCAATCTTAGTTGCTTGGTGTGCCAGCCTTGTTTTCTTGGCCTGAATGAGGGCAGCAGCTTTTCTATCTCCATTTTGGTATTGAATCAAGCCTCAGTGCTCCATTGCCTGCTTTTGCACAGCTTGGAGTCCTCCTTTCAAGTGACTGTTCTTCATGAAGATACTTCAAATTCCACTTTTACTGTGGTACAAACAACGCAGGAGTTATCCAATATAGCTGGTTGGAGATGAATTATTGTCAAATGTTTTGTGTTCAGTCATCCTGGTCACTATTTACTATACCCTGTGCCACTCCGGAACAGGAGCTACCTCTGTTCCCAAGAGTTGATGCTTTGCATGCTGCTGGCTTCTCTGGTGCCATGGCATAATGTTCGCTACCTTCCAGTTTTGGAATGCACGTCTGGCGTTTGAGAGTTGCAAATAGGCTGAACTGCTGTGCCTTCAGTAACACATCGAACATGCCAAGTGAAGACAGACAAGTGCTTTACTTCACATCTTCTGATGTGTAACAAAATGATACATTAAATCATACAAACATGATCTGATCTGAAATCCTAGTTCCGTAAATTATTCTTGCATGAGTGTCTTAATGACTTCATGTCGGTGTTTGAGAGTTGCAAATAGGCTGAACTGCTGTGCCTTCAGTAACACATCGAACATGCCAAGTGAAGACAGACAAGTGCTTTACTTCACATCTTCTGATGTGTAACAAAATGATACATTAAATCATACAAACATGATCTGATCTGAAATCCTAGTTCCGTAAATTATTCTTGCATGAGTGTTTTAATGACTTCATGTCGGTTTTTTTTTTTTTTTTTTTTAATAAAATATCTTCTTCTCCCCCCGCCTCCCGCCATGCATGTTGTCAAAGTCAAACAAGAAGACACATCTAATGCTGCAGCAGTAGAACCTGATTCTAAATGAAAGGCCTTTACTCTTTTTTGGTGCAGGTCTATGACAGGTGTTTCAAGAAGAACAAAATTATTAGATACTGTTGTAGCTGGTGGCTTTTCAAGTGTGCAGGTTGTGAGGGTTTGTTTGAAAAAGTACATAAAAAGGGCCTAAAAAAGCATCTTAAAAAGTACATAAAAGGGGCCTAAAAGTACCTAAAGGAAGCCTAGAAGAAAGCTGGAGAGGGACTTTTGACAAGGGCATGTAGTGATAGGACAAGGGGCAATGGCTTTGAACTGGAAGAGGGAAGATTTAGATGAGATATAAGGAAGAAATTCTTCCCGGCGAGGGTGGTGAGGCAGTGGCAGAGGTTGCCCAGAGAAGCTGTGGCTGCCCTATCCCTGGAAGTGTTCAAGGCCAGGTTGGATGGGGCTGTGAGCAACCTGGTCTGGTGGAAGGTGTCCCTGCCCAGGGCAAGCAGGTTGGAACTGGATGGTCTTTGAGGTCCCTTCCAGCCCAAACCATTCTATGATTCTCTGAAAAGCAGGAATTTTATCCCTACTTGGCTACAGAGGTCAATCACGTAATTTGGAAGACTACAGTTCTGTGGTTTCTGTATCTTAGAAACTTTTTGCAGTTGCCATTTTCCTTTCTTCTGTTACAACAAGAAGTCAGAAAGCGAATACCTGGAAGCTCAATACTTAGAGGTTGATATTGGAACAGGAGCCTGCTGGTGCCCAAAAAGCCCTCTGTGTTGGCATTGAAAACCCATGTGTAGCTGCTGCTTAAAACCAAGACAGCAAACCCTTCCGTGGTGGGGAGCTTGCTGCCCTTTAAAAGCAGCACAAAATCTTTCTGTTTTGTCAGGAGCTAAAGGGTGGGGTTTTGTTGGGGGTTTTGGGTTTGGTTTTTTTAAGTAGTGTTGGGAGAGCATGGTTCTGTGAGCAGATCATTTGGTGAGCCCTGTTTCCATAAACGATTTTTGTCTTGCTCAAGGCATTTGGCAGTTGCAGAGCTGACAAAGGCCTGAAAGTTGGTTAATAAACACAGGTACTTGTAATTGCTAATGAATTTCATTTTTGCAGTGGGGAAGGACTGAATCAAAGTCACAAAAACACTTGCTCATGTCATCTGTTGCCTAGGTATGAGTTAGATCCTACTCTAATGCTGTGTTTATTTGGTTTGCAGTGGCATGCTCTTTCCCGTGAAGAACAAGCGAAATATTATGAACTAGCTCGTAAAGAAAGGCAGCTACATATGCAGCTTTATCCAGGCTGGTCTGCAAGAGACAACTATGTAAGTCGCTCACTTGAAGGCTTTTTTTTAAATTAACTTCCTGTACGTAACTTTTTTTCCTTTCTTCTCTTTAACTTGTCAGAAGTTCTGGCTGGAGGGATGGTGAACAAACGTATAACATAAGCCTTATATTTGTTTGCATTTCAAGCATCCAGAAAACTTGAGATTTTGTTGTTGTTGAGATGCTTCTTATGAAAGTCACAGTTTTTGAGCTGAAAGAATTAACATGGAAAGTTGTTTTTTTTTTCTGAGACAATGGCCAGTACTGTCTGAAAGCTTATGTTCTACTGCACTGCTGTGAATTTTCCGTAATTTTCTATTCAATCACTTGCTATCCAGAAATCTTCTTTAGACTGAGCAAAAAAGGGGTGTCTGTCTTTCAGGAGAACCAAAAGCCCAGGGATCTTAATGCAGCCTGAACTTTAGCTGAAAGTAATTCAGAATGGTCTATCTCTGAAATAAAGCCTGCAAAATTTGTGTAAGTAAAACTTCATGGTAGATCCTGCTTTTATATCATTTGGTGAAGCTAAGAAGTTTTCTTACAATTACTCTTATTTTATAATTCGGTATCAAACAAGTGTTAATAGCACTTTGAACAGCTTGCACTGCACAATTATACTATTGTGCTTACAGTCAGCTGTCAGCATAGTCATATGTTAAGTTATGAAACTCAGAAGCTGGGATCCCGAGAGACTGATCCTAGCCTGAGATCTGGGCTCCTTTCCGTCCCCCCCATCAGCTCTGTCATTCTTCACTGTGATAGGAAGTGTACATGCTGTATCTGGCTCAGTTTTCTATCTATATCAGGTGGACAATAGCTTTTCTCTACTTCAGTGATGTCTTGTGGACGTTAAAGATTGAGGTACTTAAATACGGCGTTAACAGAAACTGTAGAAACTGGCATGGAAGACATTGACACAGAAACTACGTGATCATCTCTGAAGCAAATGCCTTGGTCTTGCTGACATCCATGCCCAGTTTTGTAAGGACAGACAGTACTGTAAGCCCTAGCAGCTTGTTTCTGCCTGTTTTATACAGTCATCTTTTCTAGCAGATGAGCTGTCGTGACCTTACACAGGTAGGGGTTATTGCCAGTAACCAGACCATGTCAACAGAGCTGTCTTGAAATATGCCTGGGAACAAAATAGGGCCTTAGAGAAATACTCCCTGGAAACAAGGGGATTTCAATTGTGTTGAACTTACTTGCTGGAAAATCAAACCACTTTGGAGCCTTGTCAGCTCATGCTTACTGAACATCAGCCTTCAAGAGTGTCCTCTGATGCTCGGTCATGTTGACTTTGAGAACCTGATGTGTTTTGCCTCAGCCTACTGCAATACAGCACAAGTGGTGGACCTGCGGCTTCCTAAATGCCTTGATAGACATTTGGAGTGTGTAAGGTGGCCCATATGAATTCTGTCTTTGATGCGCTTCCAACCTACATGCTGTGTGGAAGTATAGCTCTGACACACTCCAGTCCTATAGATTACGATGGAGAACTCTGCTAGCTGCCTCTTGCAGTCCTCTCTGCCTCTCCAGGAGTGCACGTGTTTGTTGCAGTGGTGGTGGTAAGGTGATCATAGTAGATCACAGTTTATCACTGAAACCTTTTCAGGTATATGTCATCCTTTTTTTTTTTTTTTAATTTAGTTTTTCTCTTCATTTTTTCTAACTTGAGCAGTCAAAAAATGAAATAGTATTCATTCAGCCCAGAGCTTACTGCAGTATTTTAAGAGTTGGAAGTGACTTAGGGGTGACTCTTTTGTTTCAGATGGCTGAATTTCACAAAACAGTACAATTAAAAAAAAAAAAAACACTACTTGGTTTTAATTCTTTTATTTTGGCTTGCCTGGTTATTCAGGATTTCAGAAACTTCAAGAAAGTGTTAAGCATTGCTAGTCAACTGTTGACAATATGTGTGTGTTTTTGTTACTGACACCCAAAGTAGTCCTGCAAAGCTGTGTGATAGTCATGAGAAGCACAGTGTTTTCGTAATGTGATGGTGTTCATGTGTGCTAGAGTTGTCAGAAACTACCTCATTTGGGAATGCTGACAAGTAGTTTTCAGTCCAGCCTTTTCCTTCTGTTCCTCCGCTTCTGGTATATCTCATAGACGGATCTCAGCTCAGCTTTCAGTATGTTTTAGCACTTGAAGTCAGCCTGCCATAGAGAATAAAATATAATTTTCCTCCCATGATTTTTCCGTGTTAACAACTGCACTAAGGCACTTTCCTCTGTAAAGAAGTATTGTCTTGGTACCTAAGTGATAAAGCATGTCGCTGTGAGTTTCCCAGAGCCCTTGAAATCTGCTTTCCAACATCTAGTCTTGGTCCCATCTTTGGGATCTCACTCACAAGGCATTGCCCAGCCCTGTTGCCAGCCTCGGGATAAATAAGGAGAGGAGCTTAAAAGTCAGGCACACCCAAACTGTTGGAGCAAACTGGAGACAAAGTAAATGCATCTGCTGTAGCTTCACCGCAGCCTGTCTTTGGAGCCCTCGCTTGCCCTCTATCAGTAAGCACTGCAGTGGTCTGAGGTGGTTTCTCCCATCACCTGCTGTCCATCCCGTCGCTTTGCAGAGCTGGCTAATGGAAAGATGTGTCCCTCCCACCTCGGCCCTTCCAGTTTGTGGCCACTGTGCATGGCACGGTCTACGCCAGGACGTGCGTTGGCGGCTGCCTGCCGAGCTGAGTTGGGTAACCTTGGGCTGGGGGGCAGAAGGATGGACAGTGGGCTGCAGTCCTCCTTACAGCAACCGCACCAGGGTTTGCCAGGGCTCATCTGTTACAGCCTGTCCTGGCAGCTTGAAGGCTTCTTTAAAATATAAACAGATATGACTTTTTTTTTTTTTTCAAAAACAAACAAACAAAAAAGCTTTCACTGACAATACAGGACAATAAAGAGAAGTCATATGGTGGAATAGCAAAGTGGTAATTAGGGTGATGCAAGATGACTGAGGTTTAAAATTGTGGGTCTAAACTGACCTTTTGCTTCCTGAAAGATTGTGCGAGCCGGGAGCTCTGGCCTTTTCGATAGATGGGGGGTGATGGAGAAGGCTGTGTGTGGGTTGGTGTGACGAGCCTGTGCCGGCACGCTGGTGCCAGTGTGGTGTCCAAGAAAGACAGCTGCCAGATGTCCATTTCTGTCCTGCACCTCGGTCACGTTAAGGGTGCTCCGCTCTACAGCAGTCTGCTATTTGCTTATTGCACAGCGCGTTCTCCGGGCACAGCCGTACGAGACTTGGCTTTTGTTAAGGTACGAGCGTTATCAGAAGAGTTTTAGTTGGCTGGTTTGCACCCTGGGGACAAGTCATGCTCGTCCTAGGTACTTTCAACACCCTGTCTGCTGTTGCCATGTATGACAGTGTAAGTATCTGAATGTGTGAAGAGTTCTTGTAAGAGCCATAAATTATGATATCAACATATGTGTCATCAGATTATTAAGCGTGAGAAGTCTTTTAGATGCTTGCGGCTGCCAGCGGTAGTTGAAAAACTGCCAGAAATTGTAATACCATGTGGATATAAAAATGTGTATTGCTCATGTGCGTATTTCTCCATAGATGCCAAGAGCAAACTTTGTCACCATTGAAACAGTTGGAAATGGGTTAGAAAAGGTTTTAGCTACCCCGAAAACAATTGGTTTTTTCCTAACCGCTTTCTCAGTGTCCAGATGGCTTTCGTTTCTATGCTGTGAGGTGGGGAAGCAACAAAAAAAGTTCTGTGCATGTAATGGTATGGTAAAATTTCCAATTTTTCAGGGGAAGAAAAAGAAGAGGAAGAGAGAAAAGTTGCAGGAATCGGCATCAGGTAGGCCATGACCAACTCTTACTTACCAGTCACCTCAGTTATATTTTTAGAAACCAGGGCTTGCGCTATTTAATTTTTACGTGCCTTTCTCTAACACTTGCTACTGATGGATGTTTCAAGATACTTCGCTTTGAATGCAAGCTTGTGAAAATGCACACAATACACGTCTCCTTTCCCTTATGCCTCTCCGTGCAGCACTCCCGACGACATCACCGTCTTTGGCTGAACTTACGCATTGCTGCAGTCGCTGTCCTGCTTTACCTTTGCTTTTCTCCTCAGTCGATGTTCTATCATCCTTAGGCTTAACTCTGTCTCAAATACTGTGTGGGATTATTGGGACACTGGAAACTTTATACTGACCATTTTGTAGCCACTGTATTTTTTTATCGCTGTATTTTACACCTCTGTGTACACTAACAGCTGCCTAGTAGGTTGGCTAAAAGCATCAGTGAGGTCTCCTCTTTGCCTGTAAAATATATACAGAGAAACACCCTGTTTTCCCCAACAAAAATGGCTGGTATAAGAACCATAAAAAAAACCCCAAACAACAAAACCAAAAACACACCAAAAAATCCATGTAATAATGTAGCAAACAAACTTACTTGGAATGTGCAAAAACTCTGTAACAGAAATTTGTTAAAGGAAAACAATCTTCTACAGGTACAGGCCCCAGAATGACAGCTGCCTACATCTGAAGCATGGTAAGAACATCTCTAAAGCTTTCCTGATGATGAAACTGATTTGTAAAATAAGCTTTCGTATAAATTTTATGCAATAATATGAATTTAGCAAAAATTGCAGAAGGATCATATCCCAAAGCTAATGTTACTTTGACTACTGATTGGTTTTTATACCGGCTATCTTATTAGGTGTCCACTATTTCACTTCTTAACCTTAATATTTTCAAATTGACCATACCTCACTGACTCGCTGCAAGTCTGCCTGTGAAGCACAGGGATGGGTTTATTAAGCAGTGCAAACCCCCCCGTCAGCAGACTGTCACAGTCCATAACGGCAGGTTAGACGCTGGCTTCGGAGTACATTTTATGTCCTGACATCTACAAGATGCTGGCTGGCTGGCTACACTTTTTTAAAAAAAATTTGTTCACCTGTATACTAACAAAACATCTGCTAAGAAAATGGAATTGTATTTCAGTTATAGCAAGAGTTTCTCCTTCAACTGTACAGTGGTAGTTCATGTGTCGTGCGGGTTGGGGTTTTTGTTGTATTTCTGTATTTCTTGTTGTATTTCATATCATACCATCTGCAGTGAAGGTGGAATGACTAGTGATTAGACATATCCAGTAACACCGTCTAGTCTGCTTGCGAGTGACACGCTACCACAGCGAGATCCTCATTTCTCAGCGTTTGTGTTGGAAGGCTGGTCCTTCTCTTCCTCTCAGTGCAATACGTTTTCAAGTAGGAATGGCATTCATTTGACACAATAGTTGCTTCTACACGGTCTAATTAACCCAGACTGCTCTTGGGAGATCCCCGAGGATTCCAGGAACCATGCAAAAAAAACCCCACTTTCTAAACTCACTTATATGCATTATAACAGAAATTGGGTCTTCCCCCCCCCCCCCCCTTGTTTGGCCGGATGATCCCCTTGGCACTCCAAGTGGTCGCCGTGGACTTTCAGCCAGAGAAAGCCAAGCTCTGTGCAGTGTGTCAGTCATCCGTCATCATGATTCAAACCTCTTCTGTAGTTATGCCATTATGCTCGTTAGTCTAAACTTGGTTGGGTTTAAGACTTTGGGCTTTTTGGGGGTGGTGGTGGTTTTGGTTTTTTTTAAAGCTGAAGTAAATTGAAAAGGCCAAATGCATGCTTTTTTTTTTTCTTCCTGCTAAGCAAAAGTTTTTTGGGCAAGCAGATGGTCTTGCCCTTTGCAATATGCCTGAGTCATGCAGATTTTAGATGTAGATTGCCGCATTTGGGTTCTGTAGCCTACACAACGAATGTAACTGTAAAGTATTGTTAGTTACACCGACTGCCATAAGTATTATTACACCTATTAAAAAAACCCCAAACGATCAAGTGCTTTAACCTTGAGTTTTATAATTGATATTTCAGCTTAGTTACCAAGGTCCATGACTGTTGTATTTTTCCCTTTGATGTTAACACAGTACTAGTAAGCGAAACAGAGATAATTTTATCTGAATTGACATGGAGCACTCGATTGGGATCGGAATACAACTAAGGTTCAAGTGACGGTTAAAAAACGGGGGGATATTTGGTTTCTTAGATGCCTTACAATCTAAGGATGACTGCCTTGCCTACGCTGAACTACTTTTGTCGGAGTTTCTCTGTTTGCATTTTCCATAGCAGAGAATGGATGTTCTGAGTATGTGGGTTTTCTGTCTTTTCCCTTTTACCTCTACACCCCTTCCTTTCTTCCCCGTAAGCTCTGTAACGGTGTGGAAACTGTTGGTAATACCTGTCTGTTCGTCCTCGTGCAATTTATAACATGGAGTATGAGAACAGTAAGTATCGTCCCCTGAAGGAGGAGCGTGCTGTTGACTCCATATATGCACATGTAGGCAGCCTCACGAAATGTTGTGTGCCGAGTGAATGCTCTCCGCTGGAGACGTACAGATGTGCTCTAGCTGGAAGTAAATGTGCAGAATGATTTAGAGAACCTGAATCAGCCAGACTTCAAAGTGAACTTCTGAAGGTTAAGACTCTTGCCCTTTGCGAGCCTAATCCAAAGAATGTTTTGCCCACAAGCATAGTATCTCACCAGGCCCACAGCAGAGTTGTTGTAGTCTTTACTGGACGGAGATAATAAGTTTGGGAATGCCTTTCAGTGAGTGCCGCTAAGAGCTCTTGAAGACAGGAAAACACAATCTTTCTTACTCGTACGGATGGTGCGAGGAAGAGGGGGAAGGAGGGTGGGAGGTCTGGGAAGGAGACAAGCGTTCTGTTATCTGAGAAGAATCAGAAATGAGTAGGTGGCAAGACCAAAGAAAGAATCTCAAGATCAGCACAAAGGAGATCAGCCAGGGCTGTAATTACGGTGATGTAAGTGAGAAGGATGAAAAGGTGGGAGGGTTGTGTGGTGGGATGTTCAGAGGAAAGTAACGGAAGAGACATGCAAAGAGAAATGATTTAAGATACTGTGAAAGTTTTGGGTGGGTTTTTTTTTTCGTCGATGAACACTTCAGCACATAACTCATTTTTAAGGTGGACCTCTAATCTGCTTTTTGGCTTGGACATCATTTGAGCGGTGAAGTCAAAATGGTAGCGTTAAGCTGCCCCTCTTCCCGGGGTTGTACAGCTTCTTATGGCGTCGCTGCTTAAGATTTAGCTGAGTTCTGCAATCTCCTCTGGCCTGCTGAATGGCCAATTTGTAAAACGCTTTAATATTAGAGTGCTTTAGGAGTACTGCAACCTGGTGCTCCAGTCTTTGCTAAATTATCCTGGGGTACTCCGAAGCATGTTGCCATTCTTTATGAATTGCAGAACTGTCGCCAAGCAGGATTTTGTTTTAGTTGACGTGGCCCAACACAATGTTTGACATAACTTTTATATGTTGAAGAAATAGCTCATATTTATTCTCTCCTTTTGAAATCAACTAAGAGTGACATAAGACCTGATAACGCTAAAAATGAGTTTGGGAGATGCCAGGAGGGAAGGGGAAATGAGGAGGGTTAAGATTAAGGACAATGGTGAGATCATCTGTTGAGCACCTTTCAGAAAGGTGGCTGTTTGCTTGTTACTATAAGCATAACCTTCTAGAAGACTTGTAAATGGGAACAGTTCTTTGTGGGAAGTGGCGATTCCTGATTTCGTATCCGATTTGACTTTTGAAAGGCAAAAAAGCTGATTTTTAGCATCTCACGAGTATTTTTAAATTGGCAAGGAAATAGACGGAATACTAATGCAAATTCCTCACGATTGTTCGGCAACGTGGAAATAGTTAACTTCTTACCGTGCTAGCAAGTCGTAATTGTAAAAGGCACATCATCTGACATATGGCAGGATGCAACTGGGAAGTCCTCACAAGCTGCATAATTTAACATTGTGTTTTGGCATATCTTCAAGGGCTAAAAAGAGTGATAGAGAAGCTTAATAGACATTTGAAAACCTGTGAGAAGTGTATTTGTGGCTTGCAAAATTCCATGACTATTAGCATTTAGATTAGCAAAGCTTTCAAAAATGAGAAAACTTGACTAATACTGATTTACAATCAGAAGCACTTGAAAGGATCAGATTAAGACTGTTTAAACAATGACTTATCTATAATGTTGCAAACTTCCTACATGGAAATTAGAGCCAAATTTTGGTGAAGTAGTGATTTTTGGATAGTGTTGTAACAAACAATGTACGACTGGATTATCTTTTCCTTATTCCTTAGAAATAAAATGGAGTAAGGCTGTGAAAGCAGAATATAAAGTGGACTGCTCTACAGCCAGAGTATTGTGGAAAAGAATCGTCTGATGACTCTGATCACGGCTGACCATAGGTTTCTGGCCAGCATCCGAGAAAGGAGATGCAAAGAGGATGTGGTACCTTGCTTTCTGAGGCATTTGTTTTCTAACCTGGCCTGTCCAGTGCTCTTGCAATTGCTGCTGGAGTAGTTGAAAACAAAACAAACTCTTTACCCCTTTCCATACTCCTTGACTGCTCAGAAGCTTCAAACAGAGCCTGGAGGATTTGTGCAGAAGTTAGTGTGCCGGAGAAGGTGTGTGGTGATGGTGGTGCAGAGACGTGTCCCGATTTGCTTTAAAAATTACGTTTCCTGTGCGACCCACGTCTCCCTGTTCCCTGTTTTGCCTATGAACGGTGGCCTTCAGCATAGGCAAGAGGGACAGAATGAACAGAAGAGAATTTGCTGGATTGAAACATTTGTTATTGAATACTTTGGTTAACTTCAGCCTTTTTCAGATAGACATAGACATTTCCAAAGACAAGGGGTTATAGCCCTCAGACAGATCCCCTCCTGCAACTTAAATCTGACCTGACATTGATCTTGCCGAGGTGAAAGATAGAAAACCTC